AAAAAAAGGATAGTCTGTGGAAACTTTAAATCTCGACATTCTCAAGTAACGAAAAAGAACAAAAAAGAACAAAAAAGAACAAAAAAACATGGTCAGCACGTGAAAACTAATGATAATCGCATATTATGAGAAAGGACATAGTAAATATTCAGTTGCTAATGAATTCCAAATAGAAACAAAACAACTTCGAGAATAGATAAGCAAAAAATCTGACCTTATGAAAGCTGTGCCTTACGTTCAGAAGTTGTTACAGGAGCTCGACCAAAGTATCCAGAACTTGAATATGAATTAATTAAATAGTTTCATAATCTTAGGTAGGGTTGTGTTACGAAAATTACAATCTTACAATGCATGTATTTTTACATAAATTCAGTAAATCAACTTTTATGTAATTTTTATCATATTATATTTAAAGCACCGGCTTTACAGAAGTTTAGCTAGCAATATTGTATCATTTTATTTGAATATATGATCTGAGTTTTAGCTTCTTAAAATTGTGAAAATTTGATCACAGAAGTTATACATAATATGTTAAAATTACAATTACATGAAAAATAATTTAAGATTACATAAATTACAAAAAATTACAGTAATTTAACAACTTTAATCTTAGGTCTTGGCAAAGAGTCGTAAGCCGGTATATGATTCAAGCCAAAGCTCGTACTTTGTGTGCTACATCATGTTATTAAAATAAATACAGGGAAATGCAAAGTAATAAATTTTCACAAAAGTGGGTAGACAGTTTTATGTTCAGAAATAATTTAGTAAACAGAAGACGAACTACTGTTGCCCAACGTCTTCCCAAGAGTTATATTGAGGATCAAAATGAATTTTTGTCTCTTGTGCTCTTTAAACAGTATAAATACGATTATCCTTTATCTTTAATCAGTAATATGGATGAAACCGCCATGGCTTTTAGCATGTCAAGCTCCACCACAATTGAAGAAAGAGATACCAAGACTATATCAATTTTGTTAACTGGGCATGAACGTTCAACTTTTACAGTTGCTTTGGCCTGTTTGCTGATAGCACTAAACTTCCACCATTAATAATTTTTAAACTATCTAAGGTACCTCGTGAAGAATTTTCTGATAGCATTATTGTACATGCGAACCCTTCAGGGTAGATGAATGAAGATGAAATGTTGTGGTAGGTGTAATAATTAGGCAATTATAATATGGGTTAGATGCTGAAAAAATGGCAAAAAAAGTTTTGCAAAAAATTAATTTTTTATATTATAAATTCTATAATAAATTATAAGAAGTCAAGCTTAAAAAAGTTTTTATTCATTATTTATTTAATTTGTCATTTCTAGATGGGTGAAAAACGTTTGGGCACGATGAGCACGATTCGAAAATAACCCATATTCTTTGTTAATTTTGAATTCATTCGCTAGTCACAAAACTGACTCTATAAAATGGCATTTTGGAGAAAAAAATACTGACTTGGTTTTAATCCCCAGTGGTCTTACATCTTGTTTACAACCTCTTGACGTATCTATAAATAAACTATTTAAATCAAAGATAAAATCAAGTGATGTTAGAGTTAGAGTAATATTATAACAATATTATAGAATCATACTTTCTGATTATATTTAAAATTTTTTTTTTTTAAAAAAAAAAAAAAATAAATAAATAAATTTTTAAAGATACGAAATCTTTATAATCAATAGATGGATGAAGGAATCAAAGAATATACTAAAACTGGCAAGATGAAATGTCCTTCGTACCTTTTGGCTGCTACTTGGGTAAAAGAGACTTGGGAAGCTATCAATATTAACCTGATTAGGAGGTTCTTCAAGTGTTGTGGGATTTCTAATATGATGGACAGAACTGAAGATAAACTAATTTTTGACTTCACGAATATTACGAATGAAACAAATCTGAAAAGAGGAGTTGAAGGCCAAGAAGAATCGAATGACAAAAAGGAAGAAGAAGATAGTGCAAACATTAATACAAATGAAGGTGGATTAGTTTATAATGGTTACTACGAAGAAGACAAAGAATTAACGATCGCCCAAGATTGGAATTAATAGAAATAAATATTATAAATATTCAAAATTGAATTAATCACCACCACCACCATAACCCAATAGTTTAATATTAGATAGTAATTCACTTGAACATTTAAATTTTAATAGCAAAATTTATAGAATTGCAATCAAAAAAAAAAAATTTTTTTTTTTTTGCTTAAATAATCAAATTTCATAATCATTGAATAAATAAAAGGATGAACAAGTAAAAGTAAGAATATTAATGAGTGTACTTAAAATTTCAATTTAGAGCTACAAAATACGAATATGCATTCGAATGGATTCCTTTCAATAGATTAGACAATATTCAAAAGATCGATGCTAAATTTTAGTAACCTGGTTAGATGATATCTGATATGTAGATGAATATAAATATGTATATACTATTATACAAAGTTGAGCTCAAAATATTATATAGTTTTTTAAATTCATTATATTTAGTAAGTTAAAATTTGTTTATTATGATATATTAAGGTTATACATTTATAATTTAAATTCATAAGTTTAAAGATTTTAAGCAATCAGGAAATATAGAACTTAAAGCACATAAACTATATGGACCAACTTAAGACATTGCAGCCAGTTTAATATATCTTTCGCTCAGTGTTGAACATATAGCTCAGAATACAAAATAAAGATATCAATAATTGCATTAAAAAACTTTGACTTAAAGCTACCGAATATGAAGATATGTATCATCAAGTAAGTCATATTCAATTATATAATTTACTAATTATTGCCTATTTTATTACAATTGTAATTTAATTTCATTTGAATTATCAGACCATTTTTGTGAAGTTGAATTCATGTGCCATTTTACCAATTCAACAAAGCATACAGAAGATATTTTTATTGTAAAA